AAAAAAAAAAAAATTAAAAAAAAAATAATAATATAAATAAAAATTCTGAAATTGTAATTATGGTGGTGATAGAAATAATTGATAAATTTAATACATATTTATTTATTAAATTTATAATATTTTTTTATTCTCTTTAATTTTTATTAATTTTCTAATTAATTCTTTAATTTTCCTATTTAATTTTTATCAATGGTTTATTACCAATTGATTGTTTGAGGTTCGAAATCATAGGTTAAATTGCGCTTACCTTATTTCCTACGTAACGCAATAATATTTAAAATAATCCAATGTTGATTTTGGTATTAAATATACTACGTATACGATTTACACGTATAGTTGATCCAAAAGAGCACAAGACCCATTTAATCGACCAGTATTTGACGTTGTACTATCAAACACAAAAGCATGAATTTTGTCAACTAAACATCATTCTTGTAATGTAGTATAGGCAGTAGAAAAAATTTCTTTTCCAGTACTATACGGAAGGTCAGGAACTCCTAATAATTTTTCAACATTAGGAGCTGTAGTTATAATAGGTAGACGATCAACTGTTTCGGTATTTTTTAAATTAGAAAGTAATTTCGAATCCCAGTGAAGAACAACAAAATTTAAATTTAGGTTAAACAATTTAGACATTAAAATCTTTGACAGCTGTTCTCGATAATTTTCTCGATTCCTTTTAATAGTTGATCTATTAATTGCAAAACGGGAAAAATGAATACATTTAATACATATTTATTTATTAAATTTATAATATTTTTTTATTAATTTATTCTCTTTAATTTTTATTAATTAATTTTCTAATTAATTGTTTAATTTTCGTATTTAATTTTTATCAATGGTTTATTACCAATTGATTGTTGGAGGTTCGAAATCATAGGTTAAATTGTGCTTACCTTATTTCCTACGTAACGCAATAATATTTCAAATAATCCAATGTTGATTTTGGTATTAAATATACTACGTATACGATTTACACTATACGTCATATAGTCAATATAATTACTTACAAAAATGATTGAAATTTTAAATAATAAAATTTAGCTACACAAAATCTATGACTGATTTTTCTTGTTTTTAAAAATTTCTAAACACTATATTTTATTAGAAATATAATTTATAATTTGCCCTTATTAATTTTAACATTTATTGAATAAGTATTTTTTTGAGAGAGTATTTTTTTTTATTGAGAGATCGACACCAATATTTCTCAAATCTTCCTATGGCCTGACCATAATAAGATTCAAAAATATTTATATCTATGTAAAAAATTTATCAAGGCGTAATTGTGGTAGCCCAATGTGTCTCGGGGCTAGCGCCTGGGTCAATCCATGCCAAATCATCTAGAAGTGGTTGCACGACCATCACATGTTTTTCAGGGTTTATTCATTATGCTATATTTAGATTAAAACATTTTTTTTTTTATGATCTTCCCATTTTTATAGCTATTTCAATGTAAAAAATGTTGGAAATAGCTAGATCGTTAAAATACACACAGATTATTCAATTTCAACTTAATCGAATTAAAATTTTAGATTTTACCCTATTATAACTTAAAGTTCACAAAAAAAAAAAAAATTAATGTGAAATTCAAAACTTTAATGACTTTCAAAAAATAGCGCTTTTTTTGTGTGTTTTTTAGCTTACTTAAAACCATTAAGAAGTTATTATTTTATTGTGATTTTTACATGTGGTATTGTATAATGTATAATCTATGTTTCAAATATTTATTTATTTTTTACCAGAGGCACAGTTTTTATAATTAAAAACATGAAAAAACGCCTTATGTTCTATACCCAATTACTTCACATCAAAATCAGCTATCACTGTGGAAATAGGATTGTTTTACTCATTTTAAATAGAACTTCAATTTTATGCTTAAGTATATGAAACTAAAATTTTTTTAACATCGAATTTTTTATTTAAATTTTTTTTCAATTTGGCAGTATTTCAATAGCAAAATTGGAAGGTCGAAAAATTGTTTAGTTGAATATATTTAAGTATCTTAACGATAAATAATTTTTTTTTTTTAATTAAATTGAAAACTTATTGACATATTTTAAATAATATTTTATATGAAGCACGAAAATAATTTTTGCAGTTATGTCAACATTCAACGCTTCATTTTATTTAATTGAAATTTTTTATTAGTAAAAACAAATACAACAAATTTATCTACTGAATTTTTATTTTCAGGCATAATTTTAATATCTATTTGCCACATGAGACTATAAATGATAAATGTCACATAGTTTTTGAGTTGTCTTCTTGTAAATCTTGTACTATTTTGACAAAACAGTAAATTCGTTAAAAATTTTTCTTGAGTAATATGTGGTCAATGTTAAACGTATTCATTCTTTTAACTAGTTTTTTACATTTTTCACAAACGTTTCGTTTGTTAGACCTACCCAACGGAGATATAATGGAGAATGAATACCTATTTTGTGATGATGATAATTTGCTATTAGCTGACATAATAAACAATGGCGAAGTAACAATGGAGCAATACTACAATGCAATGCAAAACAGGGTATACAAATATTTATATTTATTACCATATTATTTAAACAAGGCATCTTGTGGTTTATATGAGTGGAAAATGCAAAGCGTAATGATCGAAAGTTTGAATTACATTATTATTTACATGAAATACCATAAAATACCTTTTTTCAAAAATTTGGAAGAATTGAAACCGATATTTAAATTAAGCCTGCATACACATTATTACGAGGTCGAATATGAGTTTGACAAATTTATGGATTCTATTAAGCCTCTATTCGTTTTTTATCACAAAAGCGATCACACTTACGAGGTAGTAAATAACAATGAACAATTACTAAAAAAACTCAACAAAACAATTATTTCGGCATCGTTTTTTAAAAGTTTATTCAAAAATGGCTTAGAACAGTTTCCGCCTTTTATAAAATATTATAATCATGAAAAGAATCATAATTCTGTTCATAAACTAATTGAAACTATACACAATGAGTATCGAATTATTTCTAAAGACACAGTACGTTTATTAGACCTACCCAACGGAGAAATAATGGAGAATGAATACCTTTTCTGCGATGATGATAATTTGCGACTAGGCGATATTTTAAACTGTGGTCAAGTTACAATGGAACAATACTACAATGCAATGAAAAACAAGGCGTATAAATATTTATACTTTTTACCCAATTATATACTAAGGGAATTTGAATACATAAAGCCAAGTGATATTAAATACAAAATGGTCCAAAGTTTAAAATACGTCATCGATTACATGAAACATCATAAAATACCTGTATTCGAAAATTTGGAACAGATGATACCAAAGATTAATTCTGTAAGTGATGACCAGGTCAAAAATTTGCTAACGGAATTTACTGATTGGATTAAGCCTTTATTCGTTTTTTATCACAAAAATTATCAAAAATATGAGATAGTAAATAACAATAAAGAACTACTAAAGAAACTCGATGAAAAAATTAAATCCGGTGTGTTATTTAAAGAATTTTATAAAATTAATCTTAATGAAAATTATTCTAAAGTAAATCTTTTAGGTGTAGACATATTCATGAGAAGAATTATCAATGAGTACCTAATAAAAAAACACGAAATTTCAATAAATTATTGTAAATTTTATTAGTGAACACTATGATTGAAATAATTTAAAATGTTAATTAATTTGTAAACCTATTATTTAGGTAATAATTATTTGCTAAAATTGATTGCATCAGATCATATCGGATTAGTTGTATAAATTCATAAAAATATGTAATAAACACAGGTTGATTATATTATTATAAGATGCTGCTGAATAACTCACAAAATAAATACAATATTGAAAAAAAATGATTGTTTTTATTTATAATTACATAAATATCTTCATCTTTTTACTACTAATAACACCATTTATTATTACAAACATGAATGTCAACTTTATTTTAGTTTCGATGCGAAGCTAATATTGTATTGGTTTTATGATGTTGTGTATTTTTTTTATGGGTATCCTTAAAAATTGATAGTTCTTACTGTGACCATTTAAATGGTATATACAGGGTGATTTTTTTATCATAAACATGATACACTAGGACCTTGATGGATTTTAAATTTAGAATATATACATTAAAATTCATTTCTATTATAAGTATTCGGTGTTTTTTTAATGTATAACAATAGTTATGTTATAAATTATTTTTAATTATTAGGAATGTTTTGAAAAAAAAAAAATATATAGAATTTTATAATACAAAATATGAATATTTAATATTTTTTTAGCATTAACTTTGATTCTTTGTGACTGAGTAATACGTTTTATATAATAAATAAAAATGTAAATATATTTTTAGATTTGATATAATAATTCAAAAAAGTGTTTCTAAAGGTATATTCTGCCAATTCTATAATAATTGCATGACTCAGCTAAAGATTTACAGTTTTGTATGTTTGCAAAGCTGTAAAAATAATTTTAATGAGATAGTTTCAAATTCATAACATGCATCATAAAACTAAATTACTATAACAAAAATCATGTCGTCGAGACAAAAAATATTTTTCTATAAAAATAACTATATTTGATTATATTGCAGTTATAAGTCGGATGGTGTGACCAATTCGGTCATGTAGCAGTGCTTTATGTGCCCCTTTTCAAAAAAAATATTGTAAGAGAAACAACTTGAAAATAAGCAAAATTTTTTTTAAAAAATTTTTATTCTGAATATTTTTCCCTATAATCAATAAATATAAACATGCAATGGGTTCCTGACATCTTTAACATTCCTAAGTATGGCAAACTGGAACTAATCGACACACTTTTTTAATTTCATATCAGTAATGTTACAATTAGCGTTATGAAACTTTACAAATAGCTAAAAAACAAACAAGCTTTAAATAAAAAATATGTTTTCCTAATTAATATAGGTTATTTAGTCTATGGGTGAAAACGTTAAAAATAAATTCGATATCAAATTGCCAAGATTGAAATAGTTAACAAAATATTTTTAAACGATTTATTTTTTAAAGATTTTTGATAATTTTTTTCCATAATTGTTTAATATATACAATATTTCTTAAGGGGATAGTTAAATGTTTTTATGATAAGTCATTAATAATGTAATAAAATATAAACTTAAAATATAATCTTAAACTTGATTTTCAAAATCAAAATCATCTTAAAATTTAAATTAGAAGTGAAATTTCACATACTAATGCGGTTTCTTTGTGCGTTATTGTTTATTGCCCTTGTGATACGCTTATCGTAAATCATAAGAAGTACTGTTCTCCTAAGTACGTTCTGCTTGTTCAATTTTCATACCAATGACTTCATTCGACTTCTACTTACATCAACCATTCATCATCATCGGAGTCGATAAGTAGTCAATAATTGTTTATGGCTTATTTTTAATCTTATTGTTTGTTCTTTGTTGCATTAGCGTTAAGTATACCCCCTGACCACATTGATACACTTATATAAAAAACGGTAGCACAGTGGAGTCGAGGCACAAGTTATAGCATAATGAAGTTAAAAATGTAAAATACAAAATCGAGAATTTTCACACAAAAATAGCATTTAGTCCCACTTTCACTCTGAACATAAAATGAAATCTGAAATTATTTTTTTTTCGTAATAAATTATATTAAATTATCTTTAATTTAAGATATATATAAAAGTGTCAGTATTTCCGGAACATTTTCAAAAATTAAGTTGAAAAAGTTCTACTTTCTATATGTATTTTTAAATTTGAACCCCCCCTGTATTAAAGGATGGTCTGATTTAAAAAAAAAGTATGTCACATAAAAGAAGAATATTTATAGTACTTATCTTAAAAAAATAATAATGTTCCACATATTTTTCAAAAAGTAATAGTGTTATACAGTTAAAAATATTGACACGGCCACGGCGTTGTCACACGTTGACACCCCGCGGTCGTGTCAGCTCCTTCTCAGCCACCGCTTCACTGTAAACCAGACCGTTACACACACGCGTTATTGTCGTGGTGTAAAGTCCAACAAATGCCTAGCGTCGAATACCCCGCCGCAATAATACGTGAAGTCAGTCATCTTCGTGACACCTATATTGCTTGTTCGTCCATTCGCGATTCCAAACCGCCACCACAGTGCCGATCCTCTTTTTTGACATTTTATCAACAGAACCATCTGAGTGTGATTGTTCAACAATTCGTAGTATTGTTACTTTTGTTTACCTTTTATCCTCTTTGTGCTAACATTTTTATTTCATTAAACGGCTTGACGCCACCTGTAGAACGAATCGTACTTTCTTCTTTTTCTTTTTTTTTTGTGTGCGTTTACGACGTTAGTCGCAACAATATAAAAAAGAATTTTTTTACAAAAATCGTATTTTAGCTTCGATGCGAAGCTGAGAAGGTATTGGTTTTACTATGATGTAGATGTAGATAGAACAGAAGATTGTTCCACATATTTAAATACAACAAAGTGGCGCCCAACTAGCGACTCGAGCACACGACTCCGAGATTATACTTATATTGTAATAGAGTTTCATATTTCAACCAGGTCAAATATCAAGGTTAGTATTATTGTTCTGATTATTTGACAATAACGTTTTTATAAGTTTTTATGCGATTTTAATAATTTTTGTGTTGATATTGAACACTAATTTTGTTTGAATTTTTTTTTTTTGGTTTATAATGGGATATGAACCATATAGGAGAATCTGAAATAAATAACTCTATCAAGAGATTAACCGATATATATATTTTAAAGAAAGCAGAGTTAATAACTATTTGTGAAAATTCAAAATTAGATTATACTGGGAAAGTAGATGAATTAAGATCTAGATTAGCTAGATACTATAAGGGTATTATTAGTTTAGAGGATATTGATAATAAATTAAGTCTAGAAGAAAAACATTTAATTCTAAAAGAATCTTCTAATAAAAAAATTGATCTTAAGAAAATAGAACGGGATTTAGGATTGAATAACTCTAGTTCAGATTCTGAACCTAGTAATACAGAGAGGCTTTCAAACACATTATTAAATGAATGTAATTATTGTGGGATAAATTAAATGTCAGCACTGATCATATTGTAGAAAAGGTGGAAATTTTTTTTAGATACTAGTGAAAATTTATACAGTAATAATTTTTTTGATAACGGTCTTTATAGTAATTTTTTTTTTACAGAGGTAGCTAAAAATAAAAAAATTGTAACTTTTTCTGATGATAATGATTATGAAGAAATAAACTTATCATAAAATAGTTTTAATTCTCCGAATTTTCAAGTAAATAACGAATATATTGAAACAAGTTCGAATTTTAATTCTAATACTGAATCAAAAAACGACTTTGTAAAAATAACTGATAACAAAAACATAAATACTAATAACTGTAAAATAAATTTAATTGAAAATACGGAGGAGAGTATAATAAATAAAAATATGACAAACACAGTAAAAACTTTAATGAATAAACCTGAATGTTTTTACGGAAGTGATGATGTATGCCAATTTTTTAAACAATACGACAAGGCAGGAGAAGTTAATGGTTGGACTGATGATGACAAGGTAAAATTTTTATCCATTTTTCTTAAAGGTACAGCTAGTATTTTTCTTGAAAATTTAGAGGAAAAATTCGCCTCATGGAAATGGGCAGATTTAAAACAAGAATTTATTGAGGAATTTCAACCAATAGGGTATGTGACATTATTAAAAAATAAACTTGAAAATAGGCGACAAAATGACTTAGAGTCGGTAATGAGTTTTGTAACGAAAGTAGAAAATCTGTGTAGAAAGGTAGATAAAAACATGTCTGAAGATCAAATCTGTACCTACATTTTAAGGGGTCTTAAAGAATCTGTTTTACACGCTATTTCTTTACACGATAATTCTGATTTAAAAAAATTAAAAGATAATTTAAAAAAATTCGAACTTATGCAATTCAGAATAAATAACAGAGGACCATCTTTTAGTGATTATACTGACATTTTAAATCAACAGGTAACCCAGTTAGATAAATACTCTAAAGCTAGAGATGAGGAGATTAAAGGTTTAAAAAGACAATTAGAGGAAAGAGATTTATCTTGCAAACGTGAGATAAAAAAATTTAAGTGAACAGATATCATTTATATCTCTTGGCTCTCGTTACTAACTTTGGTCATGGCTTTCTCAATCTATAAAATTTACCCAATTTTTATCAAAGTAAATGTAATAGGTCTACTACCTCTTAAATATCAAACATAATTTCTTACTACCATTATATTGTTTTTTTTTTTCTTTTGTCTTTTTCCTTTCTCTTTTAAATATTTACAATTCTATTAATACACTAATTAACTAACCACAAATTAATAGTATAAAAATCTACACAAAGCAAAAAACCATTTAATCAAGATGGATCAACCAAATGAAGTATTCCATCTCCTATAAAAAAGAAACTCGATTGGAAAGAAATTTGACTAAGCGAAAATGGAAACCACACAAGGATAGAATAATAATAAAATAGATGTCATAAAACCAACTCTACACTTCATTTATCAAAATTAAACTGCTAAATATTTTTAATATTATTGTATCTTTGACTTAATCCTGTACCCTTTCAGATTAATTTAGAAAAATATATACTTGCATACACATAACAATAATAATAAAATAACGTTGAATTTCAAATTATTATTATAATGATAGTAATTAAACAAAAAGTAAATTTTCATAAATCAGTCCAATAATTTCCTATCCTCTATAAAAAAAGTTAAAAAAATAAATCGATTACAAATAATCGATATACATGAATGTTAATAATAAAATAACATGTAAAGAATTGAACGTGTTTATGAATGACAAATAAGATACTCTATTAAATGTAAACACATAAAAAAAGAGTTCAGTTCACTGTCTTAAAGATATATTTAACTTTCACTACACAAATTTCCAATTTTTTTTTTCTCTTTACCTCCATTTTATCCTTTATTATGGAAATTTACTAATTTAAAATATGAGGACATATTTTTTACTTCAACATAGGGGAGTGTATTATAGGTCATTATTTTGTAAAACTGAAAACAAAGCATTTTTGTAATGTTTGGTTTAACTATGAATTTCTTGATCTATTATTACAAAAATATAATATAGTCTATTATTTGTAAACCTAGAAGTAGAACACTTATATAATGTTTAGATTAATTGTAATTTCCCAAATTATTGTTACTAGATCAGGAAGTAAGTATTTATAAACCTTTTTGAAAATGATTACTATATGAATTTTATAAAAAGACAAACAAAATAATTTAGTATATAAGATGAAATGGAATGAATTGAAAAGGGGAGGAAGAGAAGACCTCGGGAGAACCGAAGGTAATCACTTTCCGTGTGGTACGTTTGTGACTTTAAGTTTTTATTTTGTGTATTATTTATTTATCCGTTCTTAAGTGTATCAATATTTTATATGTTTTTATTTTGATTGATTATATCTTTATTAACTACATTTTGCGTTATTATTGAACTACAAAAAAAATAAGTTAGAACAAAAAGATTGTTCCATATTTAAATACAACATTATCCTTAAAAATTGAAAAAAATTCCCTCGTTCCCCGCAAATGGGGGAAATATCCAAAAAAATTACAAATTTAAAAATCACTAATTTTCGAAATTTTTTCACTTTTTTTTTCTTAAAACTTCCATAACTTTTTGAAAAATCAACAAATCAACATAATTTTTTTTTATACTAAAACCTTAGATATTTCCCTTTTATTTGATATCATTTTTTTGAAAATCTATCACTTAACCTGCTCATTGGGGGAGATTTAAAATAGCAAATTTTTTACAAAAATTAACTTTTTCAACTTAAATTTTGAAAGTGTTCCGGAAATACTGACACTTTTATATATATCTTAAATTAAAGCTAATATAATATACTTTATTACGAAAAAAAATTTTTCAGACTTTATTTTATCTTCACGGTGATAATGGCTACTGAATGCTATATTTGTGTGAACATTTTCGATTTTGTATTTTACATTTTTAACTTCATTATGCTATAACTTATTGGAAAGTGTATGGATCAATACAATTATTTTTATGAGAAATAATATTTATATCCCTCTTTGATTCGATATACTTTATCTTAATCAAGATATAAATAAGGAAATAGGAGATCACGTAACTTTTAGAATAAGCCACCAATTTTTCAAAATTAAACACTATCTAAAGATTTGTATAGAAGCGTTTTTTTTTATAGTGACTTTATTCACTCTCAGATATCATTATACTTGATCCAATAATGCACGTCACCACTGTGCCGCAACCCACCGTTCTTGGTTTTTTTTTTATTAACTTTGATGTCTGTTTTCACCGTGAAAACAATCTTAAATCCGAAATTTTTTTTTTTTCATGATAAAGTATATTACATGAGCTTAAATTTAAAATATATATAAAAGTGTCAGGCTTTCCAGAACACTTTCAAAAGTTATGTTGAAAAAGTTCAAATTTTTATAAGCATTTTTTAGATTTGAATCCTCCTTGTATTAAGGAAATAGTCCGATTTAAAAAAAAAGTATGTCGAATGAAAGATGTAAATAAATATTACTTCCTATGATAAAGTTAAAAATGTAAAATATGAAATCGAGATTTTATATAAATTTTTTAAACAAATTATATTGATTTAGTCATTTTTTTTAACGTCAAAATTTTTATTTTATTTTTTTAAATTTTGCAGTATTTTAGTAGTAAAATTTGAAGTTCAAGCAATTTTTTAGTTGAATATATTTAAGTATTTAAACAACAGTAAATTTTATTTTAAATTAAATAGAAAACTTATTGACATATTCTAAATAATATTTCATGTGAGCCATGAAAATATTTTTTGCAATTAAATTTCAAGTTGCACAATATTCAATGCAAACATTTTATTTAGTTAAAATCTTTTATTAGTCAACACAAATATAACACATTTATTTACTGTATTTTTATTTTCAGACATAAATTTATTATATATTTGTCAGTTGAGAATATAAATATTACATGTTACATTGTTTTAATTTTGTCTTCTTGTAAATCTTGTATTATTTTGACAAAACAGTAAATTCGTTAAAAGTTTTTCGTGAGTAATATGTGGTCAATGTTAAACGTATTCATACTTTTAACAATTTTTTTACATTTTTCACAAACGGAACTTATAACAGAACTACCCAACGGAGAAATAATCGAGAATGAATATTTATTTTGCGATGATGATAATTTGCTATTAGCTGACATAATAAACAATGGCGAAGTAACAATGGAGCAATACTACAATGCAATGCAAAACAGGGTATACAAATATTTATACATATTACCAAATTATTTAAACAATGCATCTTGTGTTATAGAAGAGTGGGAAATGCAACACATAATGATCGAAAGTTTGAATTACATCACAATTTACATGAAATACCATCAAATACCTTTTTTCAAAAATTTGGAAGAATTGAAAACGATATTTAAATTTAGCATGTATACACATAATTACGAGGTCGAAAATGAGTTTGACAAATTTAAGGATTCTATTAAGCCTCTATTCGTTTTTTACCACAAAAGCGATCACACTTATGAGGCAGTAAATAACAATGAACAATTACTACACAAACTCAACGAAAAAATTATTTCGGAATCGTTTTTTAAAAGTTTATTCAAAAATGGCTTAGAACAGTTTCCGCCTTTTATAAAATATAATGATTATTCAATTAATATAAATTCTCTTAGAAATATAATAGAAAATATACACAATGAGTACAGAATTATTTCTAAAGACACAGTACGTTTATTAGACCTACCCAACGGAGAAATAATGGAGAATGAATACCTTTTCTGCGATGATGATAATTTGCGACTAGGCGATATTTTAAACTGTGGTCAAGTTACAATGGAACAATACTACAATGCAATGAAAAATAAGGCGTATAAATATTTATACTTGTTACCCAATTATATACTAAAGGAATTCGAACATATAAAGCCATGTGAAATTATAAAATATATGGTCGAAAGTTTGAATTGCATCATTGATTACATGAGACATCATGAAATACCTATATCCGAAAATTTGGAACAGATGATACCAAAGATTAATGCTGTAAGTGATGACCAGACAGAAAATTTTTTAACGGAATTTACCGATTGGATTAAGTCTCTATTCGTTTTTTATCACAAAAACGAAAAAACATATGAGATAGTAAATAACAATAAAGAACTACTAAAGAAACTCGATGAAAAAATTAAATCTAGCGTGTTATTTAAAGATTATAAAGAAATTAATCTCCATCCAAAGTATTGTAAAGAGGAACGGTATAAGATGAATTCAATTTTACTTGTGGTGAGTATTATTGGAGAGTACCAAATAATAAAAAAAAAATCTACAATTTATTATTGTGATTCATATTAATAAATACATGATTGAAATAATTTTGAATTTTGATTTAATTTGTTAATTTATTATTTAGGTAATAATTATTTTCTGATTATAATTGTATCAGATCATATCAGATTAGTTATATAAACTCATAAAACTATGTAATATATACAGTTTGATTATATGATTAAAATGAACATTTTATCTATATTAAAAACCATATTTTCATTTTTAGATAAATATTTTTTTTTATATTTACCTTTAAGAACACCATTTCCTTTTATTTACATAAATGTTAGTTTTATTGTATGTACATTTTTTATGGATGTCCTTAAAAATGGCAGCTCTACAATGTCAATATTAATATTGTAAAATGTTGATCTAGTTGATGATTTCCCAAACAAACATTTAAAAAAATATCATAAAATCAGCAGCCATCAAAAATATCTAAATTAAAGCTTATTTTATGTACTATAAAATGAAAAAATAAATTTGTATTCAAAAATATGCTATTTTAACAAATTTTTTTTTTTTAATTAAACACTATCTACAGATTTGCATCGAAGCGTTTTTTATGATAGTGATTTTAATCACTGTCAGATATCATCTATACTAGACCCAACTATGCCACGACCCCACTGTGCTGGGTTTTTAAGCATAATTTTAATCAACATAAGATCAGTTTATTTAAAAAAATTAACTATAAATATGATGATAAGTTTTATTAAATTTTATCAGGATACTGATTAAAATATACTCACAGTTATACTCTAAAAATTTTAGATGTATAATTGACACTACGTTTAACTTAGATTATTCTATATAGTATTTAGAATAAAATTATAAAATTAAAATTTCATACAAATCTTATCAAAAAGTTACTGCAATTTTAAATTTTTAAATTTTGATGGCTACCTTATTTTGACGTACTTTTATAAATATTATATTATAAATGTCTAAAATTGGGGGTTTTTTTCAATTTTTGGTACTGATAGGCTCAATTACATGAATATAGATATCTTTTGATGCACAGAATATCAAAATCGGCGTAGTTTGAGCAGAGTATTGACACAGTATAAAGGTGTTTTTAATAAAATAAATTATGTAACACCGTTAAGTAGTCGATTAACTTTATTTTATTTAGTAATTTATATATAATATTATAAAAACTGGTGGCAGTGAGGTGCGAAATACAAAAAATCGATAATGCGCTGATGAAAAGATCACACGGCACGTACGGCGGATGTCAGTTACAGATTAACTCGTTTACATAGTCGCCAACGTGTCTCGCGGTGCTGAACCCCCTGACCTGTCCTATCTACCGACCGCCGGATAAGACAAACTTGTGTTATCGTCAACACTAATGAGTGCGACGGTGGACAGCTGATAATCACGACCGGATAACGTGCTAATTCACGATAAATGAATAGTGCGCTATTACGGGCCGTGTCAGTATATAAACATAAAAAAATACAAAAATAAATTACAATAGTATACTTAAGTGTAAATCGTAAATAAAAAAATCACAGAGTGATTAAAATCTGGTAAGACACTCATTTTCTCAGAAAATATTGAGAATTTTTAATTTTCTTATAGAGAAAAAATATTTATAATATTATAAAATATAATTATTAGTTATAATTTAATGTTTATTTATAATCTTTTATCTTTTTTTTAGTTATAAAAATCAAAACTATTTTAAAGTTATAGTTAATTTAGGGCCAAATTACACAAGAGAACTATATAGTCGCTATTCTATTAATCTTTACGGTTGGTCCAACTGAAAATGTTATTATTATATGTTTTTTTACTCGTTAAGTTAAAATTTTAAATACTGCATTTTGTTTTTAACTTTTATCATATTTATAATAAAAGAACATATATAATTTAACTTTGTTATTGTCAATGTAGTAATGAACTTAAAGTTAACTTGTTGTCATAATAATTTTTAATTAAAAATTTAATTTTTACTATTTAACGCGTTAATATCTAGTTATTTTTTTATGATTAGGAAATATTTAATATAAAATTTCAATTCAAACATATCATTATTGTATTTTTTAAAATATTTGCATGACTTCATAATGTTTCAAAAATAAACATTATCAATATTAATCATTTAAAAGTTACTATAAAAAAAAAAGTACGTCATAAATTAAGAATAACAAAACTATTTATTATTAATTTAATGTACTTTTAAATAATACACTAAATTTAACTTTTATGTTATTGAAAACTATGAAAAAAATTTGAAAAAGTATTCATTTTTGTTATAAAAAAAGGTCACTTTACAAAATTTAAACTTTACCTTATATAATGAAATATAATATTAATACCTAAAATTCAATACAAGACATATTTCTCCATGTTGATCCATTTTTTTGTTGTTGGCCGGGGGGCCCCATTTTAACGATTAATTATGTGATATGGACAATTACACAAAGCTTGCTGTAACTTTTTCAATTCGAAAAAACATCCCGTAACTCAAAAAATCAATCATTAAAAAAATTTAAAAAAAATTTTTTTTCGTTAATACCTTCTCCTGGCAATTACGAACAATTTAAAAAAAAATTTGAGCTAATATCGTGAATCCATAATTATTATATAAATATTAGTTTTAAGGAATTTATATTATTAATAACTAAAAAGTAAGAAACATTATAATTATTACAAACTATATTATTTAGAAAGTGTAATATTGTTAATTATATCTGTTTTGCGGGTTTACTTAAGGAAATAATCAACACCGCAATTACTTTTACGAAAAAACATTATTGATGAACATTACATTTTTATTGGGCACTCGCACGTTTGTTACATGTTATCTGGGCCGGGTGTAAACCGGTACTACTGCTATAGTACAATCGTAAAGCTTATCACTACCCAATACACAACATGCCGCCCACCGTTGAACAACAACAGAAAATTGTTCAACCATACAACAATATTTTAGAAATACAACAATAAATTCTACAACAAAATGATATAATTTTATAATAAGAATAATTTAAACATTAAATTACTTATAACAGTTAGAACATCGCAAAGCGACGAAATCATCTGATACGAAAAAAAAACAATTTTTAAATACATTAGTTATAATTGCACATATAAATGCATATAAAATTACATTGAGCATACAAATATCAAATATAAAAATACTAAATTCAATAAACGATTATACTAATATATATTTTTTTTTCATAGAATAATAATAAATTATGAAGTATAAATTAATACAAGAATACAAACAACAAAATAAATCTTTTTAATTTATTAAAGATCAGGCTGATTGCCTTTGAACGGCAAGGGACACAAATTACGTACAGCACGTTTAAAAATACCATGTGTTGTTTTAACTTGTGCCACACGAGCCTTACCATCTGCTCTTCAGTGACACTGACTATTCTCCCCAAAAACCATTTTAGAGGAGGTACATTGTCTTCTCGGATCACCACGACAGAACCTTGTTGTAGTCGAGATGACATCCACTTGCATCGCTCCTGCAGCTGTTGAAGGTAATCTCGTGACCATACTACCCATAACTGCTGTGACAACTGCACCACTCTTCTCCACCTCGTAAGTCGGTTTGGTGTTGTAGTGGTTTCATCACGTTGTTATAATTCAAAAATAAAAATAATAAATAATGTAAAAATCGCAATTCAAATGCTTTTTCTGAGTAATATTCAAAAAAAACCCTTAGTAAGATTTACTAAGCCTGTTATTGGGCGCCACTTTGTTATAATTCAAAAATAAAAATAAAATGAAAAGAGAGAGTATTTGGGCTTAGTGAGAACCTGATGTTGTGGTTCTAGCGGGGTCGTATGGTTCGAGGGTTTAGAACGACAAAGACAAGTAGATATAAAAATAATAGACGTAGTACCTCTATTCGAGGTGTAATAAAGTTTTGTCTGGTTAGTTTCTAATGTCCTAACTAAGAGGCAACGAAACGGCGAAGCCAGTTCACGAATACCTCGGCAACGAGACGGCAGAGCCAGTCCACGAATACCAGAGCCTAATTTATACAGTAGAAATCACGCTAGGTTTTTTAAAAACATCTTTAAGGCAACGAAACGGCAGAGACAGTTCACGAATACCATATAACGTGATTATGTATAACTTCTTTAACCAACCAGTCAAAATTGACATTTTAAGATATTAATTTAATAAATGATCTATTGCTTTGTCATCCTTTACTCAAATTTATTAACTCCAAATAATTGGGATAACATAAAATTACTTACTTCTTTTATTCTTGCAAATTGCTGCAAAATGATTTGATAAATATCTCGATATGTTTATATATGTTTAAAAGTATTTAATTCGCACTTCTTCAAAAGATAAATAATTAAAACAAGTTCTTTTCATATATAAATAAAACGCGTAAAAGTCAGCCGACAACAACACAGGGCTGTGACTGATAATTGTTTCTTTTTATTCTTATTTCAATTCGGAGAAAACGAACTCTCTCGATCGCTATCACTCCTCGGAGAGTGTCTGGAGTCTTTCCCTGACTCTCTCTATTCTGAAAGAATTTCAGTGCTTTTTATAGTAAAATGATAGTACCCCCAATCCAGGGATATTGTTGTCAGCGCTTTTAGTGATCTTTTTAATTTATTGTATTTAATTATACATTACATGATTATTATGTTGAGATAACATATTTAACAATTGATAAATTGACATATATATAAATAATAAGAAATTGTGTTGAACATCGTATTTGTTATGACAGATAAATTATTTGTTTGTTTACAAGTTATTTAAAATACAAATTATACATTTTTCATTGATAATTGTAAGATGCTTAATGCAAAGCATTGAGCATATTACGACATCCACCCTAGTTTTGAAAGTGTTGTGTCCTCACAACTTTTTACATAGATATGAAAATAATATTTTTATGACATTTAATAATGTGAGTACAAGAATATAGTTAAATATTGAATACTAATCATGTAACAGTGTACAATAATATTAGATTATTACTAAAATAGTTTAAAAACATAAGATAATATAAAGTTATAATGAATGATAAAATAGTACAACAGTGGTACAAATTAAAATAATAGAACATTTGAATAATAATATAGTACAATAGTAGTTGATTAATAAATTTAGTATTTATGATATATAATGATTAAAAATTATTAATGTTAATATTAAATATTAGTTAAAAGTTAATAGTATGAGCAAGTACATTTGAAAGATGGATTAAAAAATTATAGAATACATAAAAAATAATAGTATGATAGTGTATATGTTTGTATGGTGCCACATATAATATTAAAAGATAAGACAATATAAACTTTTTATTTACACTTTTTTAAATTTATGTAATAATAATGTGATAAGACTAATTCAAAACATAGTGAAAAAAAATGTGTAATGTTGTCTAAAAAATCATCGTCCTGTTCTCTTCATACGTAGTAATAGTCATTAAAAATAATAAGTTCAGACGATTTTATTCTTCTATAATTTTAGCTTTTGTAATTATAAGGTATTGCTCTTTGGTTCTGTAAATGATTTTTCTATTTTTGGACTTCACATTTTTGTTTGTATGTTTCTTTTGAAACCATATGTCAAAATTAAAAAAATTTTGCAAACACAAATAGATTTCTTTTATTTGTTTTTCTTCGTAAGTACTGATATTATATGAGCACTTGATCCCTTAGTTTTTACTAATAATTTGAATTCCGAAGTCTTCATCTGGTGAAGCTGATTCATCATTGCCAAACTAATTATTTTAACCACCATTACCAGTATGAATTGCATTTTCTTAATTCGTATCGATCTTTTGTATTTTTTTAATGATTTGAAATTATTGAAACTTGCTTTACAATTGTGATGTTTTTACAAAATTATTATATTATTATTATAAAAAGCTTTGAGCATATTACGACATATATTTAAGTCAAGTTTTTTTTTTTAAGTTTACTATTACAAGTATAGAATTTTTTTTATTTTCAATAACCATGAGTAAATTTTTTGACATTTTTAATAAAACAAAAATAACTGGTAACAAGAGTAGTCCAGTTGAAGAAAAAAATGAATCTAACTCGATGCATATTGATATTAACTTAACACTTACTGCAAGTTTTAAAGATAACAAACATAAACCTGAATTAGTTGAACCAGGTTGTAGTATAAATGTGATTGATATGAATGCATCGTTACCCAATGCCAAGGATACAAATGAGTCATACTGTATAAATGATGTAACTGATTTAGGTAATCTGATATCTGTACCTATAAAGCCAGTATTAAAGGTATGAACAATGATAATTACTAATTTATAAATTTCATATAGCATATGATTGTAGAAAATGCATTAAATACCTTAAGTAGTAATAGGTACTTGCTAATTAATTATAAAATATATATGCATATAATGTACAACATATATGTTTACTCTCAATATTTGACTACATTATATTTGCTTATTAATATTTAATTCTTATCTTAAGGCTTATCCTGTAACACGATTTGGCAAACAAAATAGAGCTTTTTCTGCTACTTATTTTAAAAAATTTGACTGGCTAGAGTATAATGTTGAAAAAAATGCTATTTATTGCTTTTTTTGTCGCGATTTCATCTCTGGAACTGCATATAATGATGATACATTCGTATCAAAAGGATTTAGTAATTGGAAAAAAGTAAGTTTATTTTTTCATTTCTTTGATCTTTTAAATGAGCATAGTTAAATATCTTGTTAATATGATAAATAAAATATTTATAAAATATTGAAATTCATTTTAATTTAGCTTTATGGTAGTAGAGGTGTCCAAAAAAGTAAGCAGTCTAAATTAGAAGCTCATGCATCTACAAAATGCCACATAACTTGTTCTGCAAAATGGTCAGCGTATAAATCAAGTAAAGTTACTGGAAGTGTAATCTCTAAGTTATCCAGTGCTAATAAAAAATCTATTGAACAAAATAGAATATATATAAAAACTATAACTGACATAGTACTATACTTATCCCGTCAAGGGATGGCCTTTAGAGAGCATGACGAAAATATATCATCGAACAATCAAGGTAAAAATTCTATTAATTGTATAAATTTGTTTTATAGTGTATTATGTTTTATACAATTTTAAGGAAACTTTAAAGAGGCTTGTAAACTTTTTGCAAAGTATAATCCTGAATTTTTCATCATGCATAATAAAACAACTAATTTTACAAGTTGGTATATTCAAAATGATATTGCCAAAATTTGTGCCACAATATCAGAGATATAATTGTCAATGAAATCAAAGAAAGTAATATGTATGCTATCATGTGTGATGAAGCCAGGTAATTTTATTTTTAATAATAGGTAAAATTACTTATTTATTTTTTCATTTCTCTTTATGATAATAACTATTCTTATATCATTTTTTTTTTTTATAAGGTGTTTCAAAGAAGAACAATTGACATTTTGTGTCTGATATCCGAAGGGTTTAACTGTTAATGAAAGGTTCCTTGGATTTATTGATGTATCAGAAAGTCAAAAAGCTGAGGCTATAGCTTCTAAAATTTTTTAATTTATTGATTCATTAAATTTGAATTCGATTCCTATTATTGCTCAATCATATGATGGCGCAGCTGTAATGTCTGGATGTAACAATGGTCTACAGACAAAAATAAAACAAAAGCACCCAGAAGCCATTTATGTACACTGCATGGCTCACAAGCTAAACCTTGTTGTAGTTGATACTTGTAATTATATTAAGGTAACTACTATTTTTAAATAACATACTTCAAAAATAATAATTATTATACCAAATGTATATGAAGTATATATTGACTATAGTAAATAATACTTTTGTTTTCGAAGTTGTCAGTCAATAATCAATAATTTTGAAGCAATAATTCAAATTATACTAGAAGAAATTGACATAAATCATAATAAAAATGTAGATCAGGCAGTTGGTATGCATAAATATTCCATGAATATTTAATAATTTATTTTGTATAGTGGGGGTTATAAATTATATATTAGTTAATTTTTGTATATTATATTTTCTTATCAAAATATTTTGTTTTTAGGTATTGTGTCCTCATTACAAAATGGACCATTTATTATTTATCTGTTGATACTGTATAAAGTTTTAGTTATTATCAATGTGTTAAGTAATCAACACCAGCAAAAATCTGCTACACTTGGAAGTACTGCTACAATAGTTCAAGGAGTTATTAAAACATTTGAACATAAGCGAAGTGCAGAAGAATTTTCCAAATTATGGTTAGAGATACAAGGCTTTGGAGATAAACATAAAATTTCATTGGCTATTCCATTACAAGGTATCCATAACTGATTATATTTTTTAAATGATTTAACTCAAGACACAAATATTATTTTACAGGATCAAAAAGGAAAAAAAACTTACCAAATTCATTAGAAAATTTCCACGTAACATCTACTAGTTTTGATTTTACAAATACAAATTTTGGAAACTGTTCTGTTGAAGAATATTGGCTCATTAATGGATATTATAGAGTACTAGATAGTTTAATTGTAAACATGAATGACAGATTTTCTGAAGAAAGCTTAAAATTAGCAGTTGCAGTTGACAAATTGATTAAGTTAGACTTTGAAAATAGTATGGATTTTTTTGATCACTATTTGGTAAGTCTTTATCACTTTAAAACTAAAATTTTGATTTAATACCTTAATTAAATAAATTGATAATATAATAAATATAACAATTTATATTATATGTGTGTTTACAGAAACTAACAAGGTGTTGTAAAAAATCATTAGAAGCAGAGATAGTTGTAGCTAAATCTTGCCTTTTAAAAAAAAATGCAAACTTTGATTTAACAGATATGGTTGAACTCATTACTCCATCAGTATATCCTAATCTATTCAAATACCTGCAACTCGCAATAACAATACCAATAAGTTCAGCAACTTGCGAACGATCTTTTAGTGCCATGAGAAGAGTGAAAACGTGGTTGAGGACAACTATGGAACAGACTCGATTTTCAAGTCTATCAGTTTTACACATTGAAAGGGATTTATCCAATAATATAAATGTAGAAGATATTGTAAATGTATTTGCCGAAAAAGAAAGACGTATTTTATTAAAATAATAATATAAATAAATAAATATATATATATATATATATATATTAAAATTTAATATTTTGTACTTGTATATTGACAATTATAGTTGTGAACTGGGCGGATATGGGGGGGGGTAATGTTTTTACTGAAATTATGGGAGAGACTTAAGTCCCCCCAAAAAATTAAAGCTATTTGCGCCTATGAGGTACTACGTCTATTATTTTTATATCTACTTGTCTTTATCGTTCTAAACCCTCGAACTATACGACCCCGATAGAACCACAACATCAGGTTCTCACTATACCTATCACCCATAGCTCATTTTCATCATTTTTATTTTATCGATTATTGCTTATTATTTTTGAATGATAACAATATATATATATATATATATATTGATTTGTTAATTTATGAAAAAGTTATTGAAGTTTTAAGAAAAAAAAGATAAAAATTGACGAAATCTAGCGATTTTAAAAATTGTAATTTTTTTTTGAGATTTCCCCCATTTGCGGGGAACGGAGGAAATTTTTTCAATTTTTAAGGGTAATGTCTTCGACTAGATACGATTTGTGATCTTGTGACGTATCGTTGAAAGAAATGGGCTGGGTTTAGTGAGGCTGAGAAAAAGTGGTAACAGACACAAAAAAACACATCACAGTAAATTTAATAACTTCTCAGCTTTGCATCGAAGCTAAAAGATGACAAATATAATTTGTAAATTTCTCTTCGAAAGGAGTGACCGTTAATCGATTTATGATTGAGTTGTGTCTATTATAATATAAATAAACAGGAACAATTCGGACTAGTCAGAGTTGAGAAAATGTGGTAACAAACAAACAAAAAAAAAAAACTATTTTTTTTTCATAGTTCGCACTTGAGTTATGTATGATAATAAAATATAGAAATTTTACCAATTTATACAGTGGTCAATTAAGAATAAGACATTTATTCTCTTAGAAATTAATGGAAATTTAAAATTTTTGTAAAGAGAAAAATTGTTTGAGTAAAAAAATATAAGAATATTCCTCAAATATTAATATTTATTAAAAATTGTAGATTATTTTCTCAACATAAACAATCAATTGTCTTGAACTCCAAAAAACAAAAGCATTTCTATCATTTTTTTGTAATAATATTTATAACTTAGTTTTGAACATTATGAATCTCTTCCTAGATATATTAAATTACAGTTATTGTTTTACGCTAGTTTCCACGAGTTGTTGTAGAATGCTTTACTACAAAAAAAATATATATACAGAATAGCCCAGCACTTACTGACAACTTAAATACTTTTTATCCAGTTAATATTTTTAGCTGATTTTTTTTTTAAATAATAGTTATACGTTAGGTCTATAGCTATATCTCAATAATTCATTTTTTTAAATTTTATTAAAAATAATAATTATTTTTAAATTTCAAATAAAATGTAAAAAAAAATCCAAGATAGCTATTTTGTAGAGTAGAATTTAAGAAAATTTTCAATAAAAATATATCTTATTAATATTCAGTAGTAAATATCCTGTAGCATTTTAAAGTTTGTGAAAATTTGAATTGTCATGTATTATTTTACGGTATTAAACATTGAAATACGTATTGAGAAAAGGACACAAGAAAACACTATCTTTTCGTGATAACTATAATTTACAACCTTGGCATTAATACCATGATAAGAAATTTGATAAGGCAATTATTACTTATCACTCTCATTCAAAAGTATAAGTCATTTTCATGAAAAAGTTGTGTTTTGTCAAAATCTTTGAGTAGTGGATTCCAATTCAACATCGTTTTCTATTCAAATAATTTTTGAAATTATTTATTGCCACAATACCAGAAAATATATGGTTGAAGATGTTTTGTTTTTACAGAAAAAACTAATTTTTGAATTTTAAATTAAATTATTATGGATTTAAGTTAGTATAAGTCAATATTAAAAAAAAAAAAAATCATTCAAAATTAAAGCATTGTACTTATTATAGTTTGGCAAAACTCTTTGGCAGCCATATAATGGATTCTAACAATTTTATTAATTTGAGCTAATTTAATATCTCTCATAACATGCATATCATAAGTTTTCATTTTCAAATAAAAAGGCTGGTTAATATATAAATATAATTTTGCTAATTTAAATAACTTCAACTGATTTTTATCTATTTCTACATTTTCTTCAACCTAAAATTTTTAATAAAAAAAATAAATTATGTTAATATAACACTTTATACCTCCACTCTAGAGATTTATTTAATTAAAATCTCTAATTGGGTATAATAATTCATCTAAGTTATATTACTAGCACAATACTTTTAATACAATACAATGGCAAATTTAATAACTAATTTTATCTCAAGTTTGAATTTATTTAACATTTATTACATTTCTTTAACTAATATCATAGATTTGACTTTAGTCAATTATATCCAATGTTATTTAAAAAACTACACTCTATAAACTCTTGACACAGTTATTGCTTTCAGAATTATACAATTATTAATTATTAATGCAGTACAAGATAAATAGTAACATACGCTTAATACTAAGTCAATCGATAAAATATAATTATGTTTACATAGAAATTAATTAATGTAAAAACAATAATACAATAAAACTAAAAAGATAATAACACTTCTATAGAAAATTTAATTAACTCCACAGAAATATTTATAATATTAGCAAACAATAGTGTAAAAAAATAAAACAAAATGTAAATGATTTATTAACACGCTTATATTAGTTTCACATGTCTTTCGTTGTTTGTTGTAAGTGTGTAACTCCACGCGGCACGTGTTATTATGTCGCGTATGACCTTGAGACTAGACTGTCGTAACGCATTCACCCCACCCCGCTCACCAATCACCAACAACACTATTTTCCAGTATAATTTTATTTTTGGTTTTCGTACTCGTATACGCACGCGTATACGAGTACGAGTGCGTGTCATCAATTATATATATCCATAACAAATTTTTATTGTGATTGACACGGCCCTGCGTCGTTTCGTTATACACGATGCCCCACGACTCGTGCCACCTTTATCAACCGTTGCCCTATTTTATGAGTATTTGACTGACCAACACCGCACGTTGGGGCCTTGCTTATACAGGCCAACACAAACCCAACAAAAAACCCACGCCAGCTCACTGGCTATGAGTTATTGGAGTTAGCGGTTCGATACAACGTCAACCACGGACACAAGCGTAGTAGTGACGGCAAGCTGCTGGTAGTGCCGGACACGATTGTCGTCATTACATGGAGAAGGGTAATGCGATTTCGAACTATGTGGAACTTGACCGTGCCGGTGTGTGCCACACATTAACTTTTAAACAGCAACAAAAAAACACCGTAACATATAACAAGCCGTTGAGCAACTCAAATTGAACAATGTGGCGACAAGGCAATACTTGACCCAAAAAAACCTGTAGTCGATATAACCGAAACGGCCGACTAATTGAGCGCGAATGAATTAGTTTTCAATGCCATACGTTGCAGGGACCGGTCTAAACAGCATCGCCGCCGTACCGTTACGAAGGTGGTGGTTTTTTAGTGGGAAAAAACACATTGAAGGTCGCGGCGTATATTAAAAAAAAACGCGGAATCTCCGGTCTACTAGACGGCTACAGAAAATGAAAATAAATTGCGTTGTCAGCGGCATACCTGTCGTGACAAGCAAAAACGTGTATGATGTGATCGACTGACCTGCTCTCCCTCATCGTGTTTTCATATTAGCTTCGATGCGTAGCTGAGAAAGTATTAATTTTACTATGATGTGTTTTTTTTTATGTCTGTTGCCACTTTTTCTCAGCTCTCACTGGACCGATTTCTTTCAGCAATACGTCAAAAGAAGACAAATCGTATCTAGTTGAAGACATTACCCTTAAAAATTGAAAAAAATTCCCTCGTTCACAGCAAATGGGGGAAATATCCAAAAAGAATTACAAATTTAAAAATCGGTAAATTATGTCATTTTTTTCACTTTTTTTTCTTAAAACTGCCATAACTTTTTCAAAAATATATAAATCAACATAATTTTTTTTTATACTAAAACCTTAGATATTTACCTTTCATTTGATATTATTTTTTTGAAAATCTATCACTTAACCTGCTCATTGGGGGGGATTTAAAATAGCAACTTTTTTACAAAAACTAACTTTTTCAACTTAATTTTTGAAAATGTTCCGGAAATACTGTGTCCTTCAAACATATATCAAATTAAAGCTTATTTTATGTACTATAAAATAAAAAAAAAAATTTGTCCCACACTTTATCTTCTGCATGTCGTAGTTAAAAAACGCTATTTTTGTGTTCAAATTTTAAATTTTCAACTTAAAAGTGCTATAACTTTTCGAAAAATGTAATTATCAGCACAAATTTTTTTTTTCTAAATACATTATAAGTATATCTTTCATTTGACATACTCTTATTAAAATTGGACAATTTCCCCATTTATAGGGGGCGTTCAAAAGTTGAAATATTATATAAAAAATAGAACTTTTTCAACTTAACTTTTAAAAGTGTTCCGGAAATACTGCGTCCTTTAAACATATATAAAATTAAAGCTTAATTCATGTACTGTTAGGGCCGGGGGTATTAAATAGTAAAATACTTTACCCGGTCACTACGCCCTTTTTACCAAACGGTTTAGCTTCTTGGTATACCACTCCAAGGCTGACCAACCTGTTAGTGTGTAGTGTGGTAATAGAGTCACTGGAGATGGGAGGGGTCGCCTGCGCAAAACCAGTGATCTATGTAGTGCTCAAGTGTGTACTGTGTGTATATATGTTTTTGTGTGTACTCTTAAACTAAATAAATAAATAATTCAATTGCACTTATCACAGATATATTAATAAAATCGGAAGACAACAATCAACAGTAATAAATAAAATATAAAGGATAGCCCTTCTGGCTCAACAATAATAAAATAAGTTTAAACTCTGAAAAATATTATAGACAATAAACCTATAAAAAATTTAACAATAAATACAAACTATTAAATAAATAATATATATAAAAAAAATTTCTTTGATTTAATTTGAATTATATGCTCAAGTCCTTATGACTGTAAACCCTTTGCCTTATGCGCGTGGATGATAATATGATACAAATTTTACTCAACACACAACAATTTGTTCAATAATTCAATTTACACTAATAAGACTAACAAATATATAGATGCAATTGTAAGATAAACTTAAGTTACTTATACTACAATTTATAAA